AAAAAAAAAAAAAAAAAAAGGTGTAGCCCTCAAGTTTTCCTGAACAAAGTAATTTAACACAGTACATTATATTACTATCTCATTTAAACTCAGAATTATGGTTAATCTCCACAATTCTGTTACTTCACTGATGTAAAGTTCAGACCCAACTTGTTACATTACAGGTGTAGTTTCCAGTTCCAATGGAGAAGTGTCATAGAATTATAGAAAATACATAGTTTTGTTTTTAGAGACAGGATTTTGCTCTGTCACCTATGCTGGAGTGCAATGGCACAATCAAGGCTCATTGTAGCGTCAAATTCTTGGGCTCAAGGAATTTGATACTCCCACCTTAGCCTCTCAAGTACCTGGGACTACAGGGGTGCACCATCATGCCTGGCTAAGTTTTACAATTTTTTCTAGAGATAGGGTATTGCTTTGTTGCCCAGGCTGGTCTAGAGCTCCTGTCTTCATAGATCCTCCTGCCTCAGCCTCTCAAAGTGTTGGCATTACAGGCATGCGCCACTGCACCTGGCCCAATACATGGTTCTTGACTTCCACGGAGGATCCACCATGAGCACGTAACTGCGCTGGAGCACAGGAAAATGAAGCAAAACTATACAAGGTTTCTACTAAGGCCCCTGAGGCCCCAGAAAGCTGAAACCACTGGAAAACTGTAAGAAAACAGCTACGAAAGTGAGGTTCCAAATGTTGAGAGTAAATTCTGACATGTGTGATATATCATATTGTTTACTGAGGGCAGCAGCAAGGAAAGCCTAGTCCGCCCCCCAAAGCGGAAAACTGCTCAAAGTATTAAAAAACAGTAACCAATATGAATATGTCTCACACCAGATGAATTAGTCTTTTTTTTTTTGAACACAGGACATGTGACTCTTTCCTTTGTTCCCTCGTAAAGTATGCTTTCTAGTTTATCTTTAACCTATAGTAAACATTCACTAGCTGCCTCATTAGTTTACCTTTAACCAGTGAAAGAACACAGAGCATCCGCTTGTAAAACTTGTCGCTGGAATGTAAGAAATAAATACATGGGTCAGAGTCTGCTCTCAGCTCTCAGCTGGAAATGCTGTGAGACCCCTGATGCTGCACACTCTGAACCCACCTTTTACTACTTCTTCTTCTTTTTTTTTTTTAAAGAGACAGGGTTTCTCCATGTTGGTCAGGCTGGTCTCAAACTCCCAACCTCAGGTGATCCACCAGCCTCGGCCTCCAAAGTGCTGGGATTACAGGCGTGAGCCACCACACCTGGCCTACTTTCTATCTCTGTGTCTATTTCTTAATTCCTTCAGCACCGAATGCACTGGGGTCTCCACAGCTGAGCTGGTCTCAGCACCAAAACCAACAGCAGCCTAGCTGACATTACAGACATATGGCACAACAACAGGGTAAGAACACAGTCTCTAGTGCTGGACCTTCTGGGTTCAAGTGACTCACACCCGTAATCCCAGCATTTGAGGGACAGAAGCAGGAAGATCACTTGAGTCCAGGAGTTTAAGACCAGCCCAGGCAACATAGAGAGACACTATCTCTCTATAAAATAAAAAAATTTGGCTGGGTAAGGTGGCTCATGCCTGTAATCCCTGCACTTTGGGAGGCTGAGGCAGGTGGATCACCTGAGGTAGGGAGTTTGAGAACAGTTGACCAACATGGAGAAAGCCCGCCTTTACTAAAAATACAAATCAGCCAGAGGTGGTGGCACATGCCTATAATCCCAGCTACTCGGGAGGCTGAGGCAGAATAATCACTTAAACCTGGGAGGCAAAGGTTACAGTGAGCTGAGATCGTGCCACTGCACTTCAGCCTGGGCAACAGTGTGAGACTCCACCTCAACAAATAAATAATTAATTAAATAAAACATATTTTTAAGTAAAAATTAAAAAAGAATATGCCAAAGGTGAAGGGTTTTGCAGATGTAATTAAAGTCCCTAATCATCTGACTTAATCCAATGAATCTTTTAAAAGGAGGTACCTAAAAGAAGAGACTCAAGCAAGAGAGAAGCTCTCCTGCCGGCCTTGAGGAAGCAAACAACCATGTTGTCAGTTGCCTATTGAGTGGACAGCCTCTAGGAGCTAAGGCTTCAGTTCTATAATTGTAAGCAACAGACCCCTGCTAACTCGAACAAGTTTGAAATGGAGCCCCAACCTCCAGATGAGACCATAGGCCAGCCAACACCTTGATGGCAACCCCGTAAAACCCTGAGCAGGGAGGACCCTGTTGCACTGTGCCTGGACTCCTGACCCACCAAAACCGGGAGGTAATAAATGTGTTGCTGGAAGCTACTAAGTTTGTGTGATTTATTACACAGCACTAGAAAGGTAATACATGCATTACTGAATTGTTACTACAGGTGCGCCACTTCATGAACTGTCCTAGGTCCCATGAAGGGCAACTGGCCAGAGCTTCTCAACCAGAAGAACCTCTAACACCACACTAGACCTCTCCATGTCAGCAGGCACCAGACTTTGTTATTACAAAAATCTGGCCACCCATTACCAAAGGCGGCCCAGGGTAGCAGAAAATCAACAGAATGTGCTCACCTTGGCAAGGGCATCTTCCAAGGCCCCAGTCACGTCCTGTGCCAGGGCTATAGGGCAGCAGAGACGCAGATCATTGAAGGCGACCAGAATATTGTTGAGGAAGCAGGCGAGGGGGGGGAAATCTAGGAGCACCATCGGTGGCTGCAGTGTCCCTGGCTGAGTGGCTGGCACAGCAGCAGGCATGTTACTGCTGCCCAGGACGGCTGGAGCTGAGATGAGAGTGTAGGAGTTCATTTCATCCTGGAATTTCTCCACTGTTTGTTGAATTGCTTTCTGGAAAGTGTGGATGGCCACCCGCTGGAAAACAGGAGCTAACTGGCCCCGGAAATCAGCTCCCACCCGGCTGAAGGACAGCCCAAAGTACATGCACTGGCCCAGCAGAGAGTCCAGGCGGCTACCTATGCCCCGGTAAAGGTCAGTCTCCAGCACCTGCAGGAACTGTGAGACTTTCTGTAGCACCCAGCCATGGAAGATGGCACTCTCATTCACAGTGTGCTCACCCATGACAGGGGGCAGCAGTGGGTCCTCGTCTGAGAAGATGGCACGGTACTGGGTGATGATATCAAAGAGATGGACACGGCAGGCCTCGATGGTTTTTGTGATATGGAAATAGGGATCATCATTAGGAATGGCAGTCAGGATGGACCGGAGCCAAGCATCCCGCGCCTGAAGAAACTTCACCCTCAGCTCGGCCTCAGTGAAGACGTCCATGCGCCACAGGTAGCCAATGACACGGAGGCAGGCGGGGAGCTGGATATTGGTCCTCAGTTGCTGGATCAGCTGGCTCAACATCAGCTGCATGGACTGGCGCACTTCGTTCACGATGCCCTGACAATACACAGAGAGAGTCACACTGCGCTGGGAAGGATGCGCTGTAGAACCCATTCCCCTGACCCTTAAGACTGCAGACCAACATTCCCATGGCTTTCCTGAAATATGAAGTAATTTCCTAAAGCTGATGCCTGTAGGTTCACCAACAAAGATCTGGTTGGATAACTCTCTTACTTAAAAAGCTTAAAACCGGGCCAGGCGCAGTCGCTTATGCCTATAATCCTAGCACTTTGGGCAGGCAGATCACTTGAGGTCAGGAGTTCAAGACCAGTCTGGCCAACATGGTGAAAACTCGTCTCTACTAAAAATACAAAAATTAGCTAGGTGTGGTGATGCATGCCTGTAATCCCAGCTACTCTGGAGGTAGAGGCAGGAGAATCACTTGAACCCAGGAGATGAAGGTTGCAGTGAACTGATGTTGCACCACTGCACCCCAGCCTGGGCAACAGAGTGAGACTCTGCCTCAGAAAAAAAAAAGGCTTAAGACCCTCCAGTGACTGCCTACTGCAATCAAGAAAATTCCAAGCACTCATTGGGACTTATACAGCCTACTTGGTTCTCCAGTTTCACCTGCTTCCTAATGCTCTCCCACTGCTACAGTCCACTCACCCTGGCTGCCTCTGTATCCCATAAACACTTCAACTCTGCCCACTTCGGCCCTCTGTGCTTTGTTCTTTACACTTTCTGGTTGCTGTCTCCCCAGATCTTTGTGGGCTGGCTCATTCTTCTCATTTGGTCTCAGCTGAAATGTTACCTCCTCAGAAAAGTCTTTCTTGATCACCCTACCTAAAGAAACCTACCCTTAAAAAAAAAAAAAAAAAAAAAAAAAAAAAACCTACCCTAGACTCCCTCTACCCATTCCCTGTTTTTTCTTTTTTTTGAGTCACTTAACATTATCTCAAATGGTATTATTTATTTGTTTCTTTGTCAATTACCAGACTTCATTTAAGCTTCATGAGAGCCAAGGCCACACTGTATCCCCAGCATATAGAGCAGTGCTTGGCACATGATTAAAAAGTATTTTGAATGAATGAATGCATGGATCAATGTTTTATGTTCACGCATGCCTGGCTGGCAGAAACTGATGTGAAACATTCAAGGGGGTCTACCTAAAGCTTCAGTCCTGACCACAGAATAAATGATTACAAGAACATTACTTTGAGTCCTCTCTGGGTAAGTTGGCTACCTGGATGACAGGGATGGAAGAGTATTTCCTCTCCAGTCGGCGTACATAGGCTGCGAGCTCCAGGGCCTCTTCATAATAACTGTTCCGGACACAGGTGTCCATGAGCTGAGGAATCTCTAGTATTTCCAGGATTTCTGTGTGCCGGTTTAGGGTCAAGCTATTCATCCGGCGGTTGGAGCTGATCTCTTCGGCTTCCTTCACAAAGTTCCTAGTAAAAATTAGAAGAATGTTGGTCCTTCACTGCTATGTACCCAAACCTTAGCTACAGTTACCAAGCACCTGCTATGAACATTGGGCTGGATGATCTGCCTGATTTATTCCTCACACCCCACCTATAAGGTAAGTACTATTACACCTGAGGAAATTTTTAATCCCAGAGAGGTTAAGCAACTTGTTCCGAAACATACAACTAATAAATCTAACAGATCTAAATCCAGATATGCCACTTGCTGGCTGTGGCAAGGTATTTGGCCTCTCCGAACCTACTTCCTCACTGGTAAAACAGCATATAGGGCCAGGTGCAGTGGCTCACACCTATAATCCCAGCACTTTTTTGGAGCGCAAGGCAAGCGGATCACTTGAGGCCAGGAGTTCAAGTGAAACTCCATCTCTACTAAAAATACAAAAAATTAGCCAGGTGTGGTGGCATGTGCCTGTAGACCCAGCTACTTGGCAGGCTGAGGCAGGAGAATCGTTTGAACCCAGGAGGCGGAGGCTGCAGTGAGCTGAGATCACATCACTGCACTCCAGCCTAGGTGACAGATCAAGACTCTCTCCAAAAATAAAATTATACAGGACCCTCCTCATAAGGGTATAAGAACTAAATGAAATGATGTGTGTGAAGCATTTAACACATCAGAGTAAAAATTGAAAACTTGAAACAGAGTTAAATATTTAACAACAACTATCATTATTTTCATAATGAAGCACTAAGTAGCCTAGAATCCAAAACTTTTCCCCTATTCCCTCAGGTCTTCACCTTCTCCTATGCTAATGTTCAGCCATAGTTCCTGTCACAGTCTATTTTCAACATTTCTTCTCTGTATTTGCAGAGACCTGCTTTATCAAGTTACGTATCTATTCTGGAGCTTGGAAGGGTACAAAAGCTGCTGCCAAATATCCAAAGTCTCAACAGAAAAATTAAACTTTAGGCCAGGCACGGTGACTCATGCTTGTAATTCCAGCACTTCAGGAGGCTGAGGTGGGCGGATCATCTGAGGTTGAGAGTTCGAGACCACCTTAACCAACATGGAGAAATCCCGTCTCTACTAAAAATACAAAATTAGCTGGGCATGGTGGCGTGCGCCTGTAGTCCCAGCTACTTGGGAGGCTGAGGCAGGAGAATCACTTGAACCTGGGAGGCAAAGGTTGCAGTGAGCTTAGACAGAGCCATTGCACTCTGGCTTGGGCAACAAGAGTGAAACCCCATCAAAAAAAAAAAAAAAGGAAAAGAAAAAGAAAAATTAAACTTTAATCATGAAAGGCTGGAAAGCAGAACTACAGATAATGGACAGGATCTATGAAGACAGAATATGACTCAAAAAGGACTTTTTTTTTTGGAGACAGTCTCGCTCTGTCATCAGTCTGGAGCGCGTGGCACAATCTCAGCTCACTGCAACCTCTGCCTCCCAAGTTCAAGCGATTCCCCTGCCTCAGCCTCCCAAATAGCTGGGACTACGTATGACATGTACCACCACGCCCAGCTAATTTGTGTATTTTTAGTAGAGACAGGGTTTCAGTATGTTAGCCAGGATGGTCTCAATCTCGTGACCTCGTGATCTGCCTGCCTAAGCCTCCCAAAGTGCTGGGATTACAGGTGTGAGCCACCGTGCCTGGCTTTTTTTTTTTTTGAGACAGTTTTACTGTCACCTAGTCTGGAAATGCGGTGGCACAATCACAGCCCCACAGCTGCCTCAACCTCCCAGACTGGAGTGCAGTGGCACAATCATGACTCACTGCAGCCTCAATCTCCCGAGCCCAAGTGATCCTCCCACCTCAGCCTCCTGAGTAGCTGGGACTACAGGCACATGCCACCATGCCCAGCTATTTTTTTTACGTTGTAGAGACAGGGTTTTGCCATGTTGGCCAGGCTGCTCTCGAACTCCTGGGTTCAAGCCTCTGGTTCCCAAAGTGCTGTGATTACAGGCTGAGCCATCACATCCAGCCATCCAAAAGGAGAGCCTCTGATATTTGATGCCCTCAAATGGGAGGATTTCCTTGTCAGCTTCCTGTCAATGGAAGTTTTGAAGCAGATGACCTCCGTCCCAAGCTTTCATATAAAATAAGTATATGAATGTGCAGATATATTCAGCTCACACCTATAATGTCAACTATGTCAGATGCGGTAATAATAGCTTTGCATGAATCCTTTTTCTTTAGTGCTCACAACAGCCCTTCAAGGGAGGGACATGCTCCTGGGTATCCAGTTCTGAATTCGAATCCCCCTAGTAGTGTCCTTAAATGCCACTAATCACTGTCTTAACTAGCTCATATGTAAAATGGAAATAACAGGGCTGGGCGCGGTGGCTCACTCCTGTAATCCCAGCACTTTGGGGAGCTGAGGCAGGTGGATCACGAGGTCAGGGGTTCGAGACCATCCTGGCCAACATGGTGAAACCCCGTCTCTACTAAAAACACAAAAAAATTAACTGGGCGTGGTTGCATGCGCCTGTGGTCCCAGCTACTCAGGAGGCAGAGGCAGGAGAATCGCCTGAAGCCGGAAGCCTGAGACTGCAGTGACCTAAGATCGCGCCACTGCACTCCAGCCTGTATAACAAGAGCAAAACTGTCTTCAAAAAAAAAAAAAAAAAAAAAAGGGGGGGGGGGCGAATAGCAGTGCCTACCTTGAAGGCTGTTGTGAGGTTTAAATGGATTAACAAGGCGCTCAGCAGAGAGCCTGGACGTGGTAAACGCTTTGTGTTAGCTATTTCTACCATCTTAAACGTCAGCTTTTACAGTTAAAAGCCCCTTTAGCGTCAGGCGCGTCGCACCTGCAGCTCTGCTGGAAGCTGGGCAAGCGGTCGAGCAGGCGGCCGAGCGACGCCTCCACATCTCCAAAGAGGCGGTGGATGCGCTCGGTGCACTCGGCGCCACGGATGAAGGTCTTGTAGTTGGCGAAGGCCAAGTCGCGCGTCTGCTGCAGCAGCTGAGCCCGCTCCTCCGCTAGGCGCTCGGGCTCGCGCCGCAGCCGCTCCAGCCCCGAGCCGCTCAACTCACGGAGATAGCGGCCCACATCGGGCCGCTCGCGCCACTGGGCCTCCGGGAAGCGGTCCCGGAACAGCGACGCCAAGAGCCCTTCATCCTCCACCTCGCCGAGAGCCGCCGCCGTGGCCGTGGCTGACGAAGAAGTAATCGCCATCGCCGCCATCTTCCCAGCAGCAACGTCACTTCCCCTCCTGACCACCGAGGGCGCAAACTCAATTTAGGACAGGAAGAAACAGGCACATTTCCGGTCTCTATGTTTTCTCATCCGGCCGGCTTGCTTTCCTCGGCGGTCGTTCAGGCTATTGGGCACTAGCGAGAGGAAGGCTTGGTACGGGGCTAGAGAGGCAGGCTTTGGGGTTGCCTGGGAGCTGCGGAGCAGCGAGTTCCGTGTCCGGTTGCCGAGGCACGAGGATCTGGTGTTCTAACCCAGTGGGAAAATGCGGCCTTTGACTGAAGAGGAGACCCGTGTCATGTTTGAGAAGATCGCGAAATAGTAGGAGCGCGCGGGGCGGACGAGGATGTGTGTGTGTGTGTGTGTGTGTGTGTGTGTGTGTGGTGACTAGTGGTGGAGTGGGGACGCGGTGCCTTTCGGGCGTGGCCTCCAGTCCTCCTTTTGCCCTCAGCATCGGGGAGAATCTTCAGCTGCTGGTGGACCGGCCCGACGGCACCTACTGTTTCCGGCTGCACAACGACCGGGTGTACTATGTGAGGTGAGGCGGGGAGCAAGCAGCATGGACCCGGGGGAAGGGAGTCATGGGTCCCACCAGCCTCCTCCATCCGCAACCTTGCTCCCCCTTTAGTGAGAAGATTATGAAGCTGGCCGCCAATATCTCTGGGGACAAGCTGGTGTCTCTGGGGACCTGCTTCGGAAAATTCACTAAGACTCACAAGTTTCGGTTGCACGTCACAGCCCTGGATTACCTTGCACCTTATGCCAAGGTTTGTGGGGTGGTTTCCATTCCGCCACGGGCGATGAAGTTAAGGATGAGGCCGATTATCAGGCAGCATCACTCACAGTCTCTGTCAATGTGCTTGGGGGAGTGTTAGCACGTGGAGATGTGCAGAAGCCTTGCAGCTTGGGCATGGTCAAGGATATGGCATGGGAGTGCTGTGTGGCTGCGTAGTGGTAGTTTTCTCCAGCAAAATAGAAAAGCCTATGCAGACCCAGCTCGAGATTAGAAAGCAAATAAGTGGCTGCAGTGAGGACACCGGGATTCAGAAAAAGAGCTGTTAACCTGGCCATGGAAGATAATCCTTGTAGAGTTGAGAACCTTTTGCATTTCTTTTAATTTCTTTTTCTTTCTTTTCTTCTTTCTGACACAATTCACAATGTCGCCCAGGCTGGAGTGCAGCGGCATCTTATTAATCTGTATTTCTTTGCATTTTTTGCATTTCTCACTCATTTCGGCTCACTGCAGCCTCCGCCCTCCGGATTCCAGCGATTCTCGTGCCTCAGCCCGCTGTGTACCTGGGATTACAGGGGTGCGCGATCATGCCTGGCTGATTTTTTTGTGTTTTTAGTAGAGACAGGGTTTTGCCATGTTGGCCAGGCTGGTCTCGAACTTCTGGCCTCAAGTGATCCACCTGCCTCAGCCTCCCAAAGTGCTGGGATTACAAGCATGAGCCACTGTGCGAGGCAACTTTCTGCTTTTCTGTTCAGGAGATGGACAGCTTGAGGAAAACGTGTGTCTCTCTGTTTCCCTTAAAATTATTTCAGAAAATTATCCACAGATCCAGCAGCTAGCTTGTCTGCAGGGGTAGAAATCGTAACGTTTTTGTGTCTCTTGGATTTTAATTCTCTTTCTTATAGTATAAAGTGTGGATAAAGCCTGGTGCAGAGCAATCCTTCCTTTATGGGAACCATGTGTTGAAATCTGGTCTGGGACGAATCACCGAAAATACTTCTCAGTACCAGGGCGTGGTGGTATACTCCATGGCAGACGTCCCTTTGGTGAGTAAAGATGGTTAGCTGTTACAAAAATCAAGTACTCTTATAACTCAATCAAGACAGTTGCAGGTGGGCAAAAAAAAAAAAAAAAAAAAAAATCAAGTACTCTTTTATTCAAGAACGATATGTTTTTAATCTGTGTGCTTGAGAGACTAAATTCTCAGCATCTTTTGAATTCCAGAAAGACCAGAATTGTATTTTTTCCATCTTTGTTATTTCTAGCCCTCAGTATGAGCATATTGAATGACTTCAGTGAATTCGTGTCTCTTCTTTTGAATCCCAGGGCTTTGGGGTGGCAGCAAAATCTACACAAGACTGCAGAAAAGTAGACCCCATGGCGATTGTGGTGTTTCATCAAGCAGACATTGGGGAATATGTGCGGCATGAAGAGACACTGACTTAAAACGAACTCATTGCAAGGACAGACAGCTGTGTGGAAGGGCCGAGCTTTGTTTCCTGTGTTTGTGTAGACTCTGTCATCATGTTGAATTTTGTCATCACTCTGACCTCTTCAGGGACTTCTTAGTTTACTGTATTCTCTATCACTGACAAATGCAGGCTGGAATCATACTATATACTGAGATGGCTCAAAAATGGGGTTTCAGATCTTTGTGTTTGTGACAAAATGGAATACTCTGTTTCATGTTCAAATCAGAGGGCTTCTTGTTCTGAGAAATAGGTTGAAAATCTTTGGAACTAGGAACAAGAATAACATTGTTATCTGTGATAACACTTTGTTTTCTAAACTCATGATAAGAACACATGGATTTTCTTTTTCATTAATATGAAAGATAGACATTGCCATATCAGAACAGTAGGCCACCTGTGGGGTTTTACAAATGAAATTTGGCTAAAATAATAAGAGCAATTTGTTCAGCTGTTTTTCTATACACTAAGTACTGTGCGGTATGGAAGAAAAATGGGTTCAAATCCCAGTTCTGCCAGCTACCAGCTTTATGGCCTTGAATGAGTCATTCAGCTTTTTTTTTTTTTTTTAATTAATTTTTTTTAAAGGCGGGGTTTCACCGTGTTGGTCAGGGTGGTCTTGAACTCCTGACCTCAGGTGATCCACCCACCTTGGCCTCCAAAGTGCTTGGATTACAGGCGTGAGCCACCATGCCTGGCCATCATTCAGCATTAATAAGGTTCATTTTCTTCTGTTTAAAAAGACACAAAATTTAAAAAAACAGCTTTGGCCATCTACCTGAGAATTATTAGAAATCATGATTGTAGGCTGGGTGCGGTAGCTCACGCTTGTAATCTAAGCATTTTGGAAGGCCAAGGCAGGTAGATCACTTGAGGAGTTCGAGACCAGCCAGGCCAACATGGTGAAACCTCATCTCTAGTGAAAATACAAAAAAATTAGCCAGGTGTGGTGGCGCATGCCTGTAGTCCTAGCTACTTGGGAGGCTGAGGCAGGAGAATGGCAGTAACCTGGGAGGCAGAGGTTGCAGTGAGCCAAGATCATGCCATTGCACTCCAGCCTGAGCAACAGAGCGAGATGCCGTCTCAAACAAACAAAAGAAAGCAATCATGATTGTAAAATGTCTAGTATAGTGCCTGGAAAATGATACGCATGGAATAAATGGTAAGAATTATTTTTATATTATATATATATTATGTATTCCTGTTAAGTGTAGAGTTTTATGAGTATAATTTTATTATATTATCTTCTTTTTTACAAGCTGTTTTCTCAGTATTTTTTCTTGGATGGGATGATCCTAGGCTGGAATGTTTTTTTCATCACTGTGATTTTATAAAACATAATATTTTCTATGAACCTTTACTTACTTGACTGGATTGGACTAAAGACTACCTGTATTGCAAAACTACACTATTTCTTTAATGAATATACTGCTTAATTTCCAAAGGTGAAGTCTTTAAAAATAAAACATTACCAACTCCTGCTTTTACATGTAAGCAAACTTGATTTTGGCCTGTCTTTTTCAACTCTTTTCCCATCTAAGGTGTTCTGTTAACCTCTAAGCAGACTCGGTGAAAGCTAAGGGACTGCTATATGATAAACAGTATTTTGATACATACATTTCATACATACTTCAGAACTTTTTCATTGTTATTTTTTATTGCCATTTTGCCTTTTTAGATGTGTGCAGCAGACTAGAACATTTATGAGATAAATTGATTTTTGTCCCAGAGTGTTACAAAGCTGATTCCACTAAGCTTCTGCCCCAGAAGAAAAGAGCCAGGGTGCTGTAGTCAGCTTAGCTTAGCATCTTGGCTTCTTTGTGTCTGTAGCTGTTGGAACATTGAAGAGACGCTTCAAGAAATACAGTTGCAGGATCCCAGAAAGAATAATAACGAGGCTCTGGGCTGTCGACCACCAGTTCACATAATGATAGTTTGACTGGAGAAGGAAAAAGTCAGCCATTTTCCTCATCCGGGCAAAGTTGTAGTATCGCCACATGTGAAAGATATTGTTCTGTACCTTTTGTGTGCTGTCCTATGAGAGAGAAAATTTTAAAAGGGATTCTTCCAAACCCCCATCTAGCCTCACCTGGGTGCTCACCAGCACTAACCTAAGTTATCTGGATGTCAAATAATTTACCCATATGATTTTAAGATGTATAATACTATTATAGTTATTGATAAATGTTGTGTTTGCTATGTATAAAATATAGTCTGGATTTTAGTTTAAAATTTTTGTTTCTGTTTTTTTGTTTTTTTTTTTTTTTTTTTTTTTTTTTTTTTTTTTTTTTTTTTTTTTTTTTTTTTTTTTTTTTTTTTTTTTTGACGGAGTTTCACTCATGTTACCCAGGCTGGAGTGCAATGGCGCGATCTTGGCTCACCGCAACCTCCGCCTCCTGGGTTCAGGCAATTCTCCTGCCTCAGCCTCCTGAGTAGCTGGGATTACAGGCACGCACCACCATGCCCAGCTAATTTTTTGTATTTTTGGTAGAGACGGGGTTTCACCATGTTGACCAGGATGGTCTCGATCTCTTGACCTCGTGATCCACCCGCCTCGGCCTCCCAAAGTGCTGGGATTACAGGCTTGAGCCACCACGCCCGGCTGTTTCTGTTTTTTGAGATGGTCTCACTTTTTTGCCCAGGCTGGAATACAGTGGTGCAGTCACAGCTCATGCAGACTTAACCTTCTGGGCTCAAGTTATCTTCCCACCTCAGCCTCCCTAGCAGCTAGGACTGCAGGCACATGCCACCACACCCAGCTAATTTTTTTTTGGTAGAGATGGAGTTTCACTGTGTTTTCCAGGCTAGTCTCAAACTCCTGGGCTCAAGCTATCCTACCTTGGCCTCCCAGAGTGCTGGGATTACAGGTGTTGAGCCACCTCACCTGGCCTAAAATGGGCAAAGGAATCGAATAGACATTTCTCCAAAGAAGATACAGAGATGGCCAATAAGCACATAGAAAGATGCTCAACGTTATTAATCATTAGGGAAATGCAACTCAAAGCCGCAAGATAACATTTCACACCCACTATGATGGTTTCAACAAAAAAGACAATAACAACTGGTGAGGAAGTAGAGAAATTAGAACCTTCATACACTACTAGAAGGAGCTTAAAATGGCTTCGCCACTGTGGTAAACAGTCTCCAGCAATTCCACTTTCAGGTATACATAAATGAAAACATGGTGACACAAAAACTTGTATGCAAATGCTCATAGCAGTGTTATGATAGCCGGAAGGTAGAAAAACCTAAATGTCCATCATGTCCATTAACTGATGAATGGATAAATAAGATGTATATACATAAAACAATATTATTCAGCCATAAAGAGAAATAAAAGTACTGATACATGCTACAACATGGATGAACCTTGAGAACATGCTAAATTAAAGAAGCCAGTCTTGGCTGGGCACGGTGGTTCACACTTGTAATCCCAAGACTTTGGGAGGCCAAGGTGGGTAGATCACCTGAGGTCATGAGTTCGAAACCAGCTTGGCCAACATGGTGACAATTGTCTCTACTGAAAATGCAAGTGAAACTCCGTCTCAAAAAAAAAAAAAAAGAAAATGCAAAAATTAGTTGGCATGGTGTTGGGTGCCTGTAATCCCAGCTACTTGGGAGGTTAAGGCAGGAGAATCACTTGAACCCTGGAGGCGGAGGTTGCAGTGAGCAGAGACTATGCTATTGCACTCCATCCTAGACAACAAGAGGGAAGCTCCATCTCAAAAAATAAAAAGAAGCCAGACACAAAAGCCCACGTACTGTGTGGTTCCGCTTAAATAAAGTATATGGAGGCCAGCCACAGTGGCTCAAAGTGCTGAGTAATCTCAGCACAGTAGCTCAAAATGCATAGTAATCTCAGCTCAGTGTCTCAAAGTGCTGAATCTCAGCACTTTGGCAAGCTGAGGTGGGAGGATTGCTTGAGCGCAGAGGTTGAGACTGCAGTGAGCTGTGATCAAACCACTGCACACTCCAGCCTGGACAATAAGAGTGAGACCATGTCTCAAAAATTAAGTATAGAACAGGTAAATCTATAGAGACAGTAGAATAGTGATTGGCAGGCCTGGGGTTTGAGAAATGGGAGAATGACTAATGGATAGGGGGATTGGGAGGGGGTGGGAGGGTGATAAACTTCTGGAATTAGATGCTAATAGTTGCACAACCTTGTGAATATACCAAAAAACCACTTAATTATACACTTTAAGATGGTGTATGGTAGATAAATTATATCTCAATTTCAAGAAAACAAGCTAAGAGTTAAGACTTTGAGGGAAAAAATTCTAAAAAAAAAAAAAAAAAAGAAAAACAGGCAACGGGCCAGATTTGGCCTGTGAGCCATACATAGTTTGCCAACCCTTGGTATAAAACTAAGGAGGAATTTCAAGTGCTTCAAGTTATTTATTAAAAGATAAACATCCCCTTGCCTGTTTGGTTTCTACCTAAATGAAGCCATCTTCCCTCCAAAGTTAAAATTGGTTTCCACAGATGTTTCTCTTCACAAAACACTTCCTTACCTCTATTGCATCCAGAGTATCGTTCAGTTGTTTTCTTTCCTTTTGTTTGTGATCAATCTCAGGCCCCTCATAGAAGACTCCAAAGTTGAGGTACACTTGCACGGAAGCGAAGTGATTATGCTGATTACTTAGACAAAGCTGATAAAAACCTGTAAGAATTCCTAGATCATTAACAAGTCTTTGGTCTCCTACCCTTTGTTAAGAAATTCCTGGAGCTATCTGTCCTCCAGTGTTGGAATTGCTACTATAGCACATTCTTTTTACTTAGAAAGTACAAAGATCCCATTTTTGACATGGAAGACACAGATGTTGTGTGAAACTTATACTAAATATTACTTATTCTATTTGGCCAAATTTTAGTAACTTTAGTTCTTTCCATACTAGGTAGCAAACAATGTTTTCTCTTTTCCAACATATAATTCCCACATCTTGTATTAAGGAGCTCCTGCTCAACAGACTGAGTTGAAATTAAGAGCATGGTGTTTGCCTGGTCCTTGTACACCATTAGGGCTAGGGACACCATCTTGAACTTGATATTACAGGAAAAAAAAAAAGATGCATAGTGCATGAAAGTAGCTCTCCTGCTGGAGTGATTGCCTCCAAGGCCGTCTGTGCAGTGACTGATGGTCTGGCATATCTGCTGGTGCTGGGGTTGCCTCCCTGTGTGTATGCAGGGGTGGAGGGGACAGGTGGAAGATGAGGTGGTGGTATTTGAAAGTCAAAATGGCCGGGCGCAGTGGCACGTGCCTGTAGTCCCAGCTACTTGGGAGGCTGAGGCTGGAGGATCTCTTGAGTCCTGGAGTTCCGGGCTGTAGTGCGCTATGCCGATCGGGTGTCCGCACTAAGTTTGGCATCAATATGGTGACCTCTCGGGAGCTGGGGACCACCAGGTTGCCTAAGGATGGGTGAACCGGCCCAGGTCAGAAATGGAGCAGGTCAAAACCCCCGTGCTGATCAGTAGTGGGATCCGCCTGTGAATAGCCACTGCACTCCAGCCTGGGCAACATAGTGAGACCCTGGCTCTTAAAA